CATAAAAGATTTAGAAAATCTCTTTACAATCTCTTAAACAAAACGTTTGGTAGAACTAAATGAAATGAGCTATTCAAGGTATGCATGCTCCTGATTAACTTCTTTTTTGTGCAATTCCACTAAAGTAAAACTGTGCGTTTGATAACGTCAACTTCACAAAGACTGTCGATATTATTAGCAGATTCGGCAATAGTGACGTCAAAAAGTTTTAGTGGAATCGGAAAAAATAAAACAGAGGTCTGACTGAAAATTGGAATGGTACAAATCCATGCTATCGGTGTCCCTATTTCTAGAAAACCAGTTTATATTCCTTACAAGTTTCCAATCAAAATTTGAATGAAGAAAATGGCTTACCTTCTTGTGAATAAGCGTCCAATATTTGTCACTCCTTCCAAAAGTATTATCGTTGAATCCATTATCTTATAGAAAAATCACAAAATAATCTAAAACAATCCAGAATAATACAGATAGTATCAAATAAATCCCAATCCACAGATATTAGTCACAGATTTAGCACTGAATATATCGAAATAATTCAAAACCATCCAGAATCCAATATAGAATATATCATAAGTCATAAGTCACAACTGATAAGACCGAAATCCCGCTCAGAAATGCGCACCCTTGGATATGCAAACGATGATTTTACGTTAAACTCCTCCCACTTTTTGACTGACAATTTGAATTTCAGCCAATCAGCAGCTAAAATTCTGCATCCACGTGCTCTACGTGTCAACTCTTCCCGCCAAAAAATTGTTTTGAGTTTCTGATGGTTTTAAACTGTCACCTTCTCGTCAATTTGGTGAAAGTTGATAAATTATTAAAGGAAAAGATCCACCAATATTTCAGAGTGGCTGGTTGAAAGAATTTTGAATAGAGGTACTGGACTTAAAAATCCTTTGTAAAGTCTAAAACCTGTTCAAAAATCTTTGGATCAACGAATAAAGTATATTTCGTTAAGTTACCGAGGGAAAAAATTGCCAAATTGACATGTTTGTGAAGTAAATTACACGAAAGGCGACCTTTAATTCTTGACAGAACAAATAACATGATTGCTAGATTCGCGCCAAATATTACCCCGAAATTTAAAGGGATAGCGTTACTGTTACAATAAAATTCACCATTATTCAAGTTTTAGGCTTAAATCAGGCTACCCTCAAAGAAGATAATTTGAAATTTTACTGAAAAGCTTTGACTACATAAATGTGGCATTAAATTCTGGGACGAAAAAGTGCAAAAGATACAAATATGATTGCAATGGAACAGATTAAACCACAGTAAATTTAAAGATAGTGGATCAAATATGGCCATAATTATTCGGTATACGGTTGGTGAAACGAGATCCTCATTGTTAGATCATTTAGGCCTGCCTATATAGGCTACAAAGTCGTACGAAAATCGAAAATTGCGAAAATCGTTTGAAAACTGAAAGAAAGGTCTATAGGCTGTTGTATCATGTGATAACCACTCGCGTGACGCAACATGCCTACCAATTTCAACATAGGCGTACGTACGGGCGTAACAAAAGCGAATAGTTGAAGTTGATTTCATGAAATTTCAATTTATATGAATCACTAAACTCATAAATGATTTAAAATCATTTCTTAGTTTAAAGTATGTTTTGAGCGGATAATTTCATATTATTTCAATTATTTGATCAGAAGGTCTACTTTCACTTTATCATTATTTGGTAGGCCTATCCTATGTGTGTGGTTTACCAATTCGGATTTGGGAATGTAAGAACTCGTGATGTTATGAAATTACCTATTGACTTTAAAATAAATTATAACTATGTTACATGTGTTACAAAATAGTTTTAATCTTATAATGACTTGTTCCGTAGGCTATATCACTTATAAAATGAGTGTGAAGAAATCATACAAATAACGACCATATTTCTCCAATATTTACCCCATTCATCATGGAATATCTCAAAGACTAATCAAGATATTTTAATTCTGTAAAGTTTTTCATCGACAGGAGATATGAATATTTTTCCATGTAGAATTTCAAGATGTTATCATTAAAAATGACCAAGGTATGCGATCGGGTTTTATTTCAACGAAAAAGAGAAATTGTTCATTTGCCACGCCAACTTTTTAAAGATCTTAAATATTGTGCACATATTTTTTATTTTTCAAGAAGTTTTGGTTCTGCTTTCACTTTTTCCAACTACTAGTACACCATAACTCATCTACAAGAACAAACTTATTTTATTTTAATTATTTCTATTTTCCGTTTGCATTGCAGCTTACAACAGTAGCAAGATTACGTCCCTTTACTTCCGGAGCTCTTTTTTCTTTAGAGGTCAAATTCGACATTCCAAGTAATCAATATGGCGTCTTTTTGTCAGAAGAATTTAGATTTTGGAATGGAATTTACTTTATATTCATCTCCATGTGTCACAACTTCATCTCAAGGTACTGTATTTTGATTCTCCTATTACCCTGGATGTTGAAAATTACAACTTTTTCAGCGATTCATTCAAAACATATCAAAGACTTACTGAAAATAAGTCGACACCATTTTCTAAAAATTTTGTATTTTTTTTGTTATTGAAAATTCATTATGGCAGTTTAAGCGTCAAGAAGCCATTTCACGTTGTGTAATTTCGTTATCGAAATTGTAATGCTTTCCCTCAAATATTTATGTGTCTCTAGGCTCGGAATGTGTCAATAATAATGGGTCATTAATGAAATTAAAATGCCACTTTTGCAATGTGTACAAAATTCGAGTCAAAGGGGGATAACTGTTTTTATTTTACTGAATTCAAAACTAAAGTTTTATCTCCTGTTATTAAGAATACCTAAATACTTGATTGTTTATTGTCTCTATTTATTTTTCAGTTACACAATACCATGGCTGAGGAAACCCAGATAGCAGAAGAAAATGTTGGGCTGAATCTGAGTGCAGTGGCAAGGATTCTCATGACGCCAACGACAGTGGTCAGAACGGAAAATATCGTAGTTGATGTAAATTCTGTGGAGAGACATGACGAGAACCATAGATTGTCACCCCCAGTCCGTTTGACCCCTCTCTCAACTTCAACCACTGCTACAGCCACAGCAACTATTATAACACCTTCAACATCTACAACTCGAGTGCCAACCCCCACACTTCAACAGCCCTTATCACAAAATCATCTACCAGTACATCAGGATGATGCGGAATCAAACGACCCTGGTTCTGATATAGAAATAGATGTCAGTGCTGTCGATGATTGTCCATCACCAACAGATCTCTCTGTGTTGAATTCAGAGCTCTCGCCTGATAGCTATGAATATTCTCCTCTAGCTTACACAACATCTGGTGGATATTACAAATGCCGTTTTTGCAGTTTTTCAACCCTGACTTACACCCATCTTCAACTTCACATGCCAAAACATGGGGGTAAGAATACTACATGTATGGAACTTTAATTATCTATTTTTACCTTTTTCTTTCTTTACACATACTGTTTTTTGATAATTATTTCTTTAGATGTTTTAGCTGTTATGGTTAATAGTAAAAGGACAAAAACCTGGACCCTGTTTTACAAATAATCTTATTATTGTGATTGAACTGTGGTATTTTTAAATGTAAAATCAAACAATTATCATTTCCATCGAAAGATTTTGAGAAACAGGGGTCTGGATTTAATAAAATTTTCCTGTGATGAAATAAATTTATGGCCTGAATGATATGGCTTTAGTTTTGGCTCTATAGAATTTCTACCAAATCAATTCAGATCTTTTATATCTTATTGCTTAACTTAGATTGTGGAAATGATGTTGTAATCTTCATTGAACAATACTCAAATTATTTTACTGTTGATCAATGTAAACAGCCTTTTATATGTAAATGTTTTTTTAATTTCAGGTCTAAAAGCTTTGAAATGTCCGATGTGCGACTATACAACTAGTGACAAGAGTAATTTTCGTCGTCACAGAAGACTTCACAATCGTTCTAATCCAGCTACAGTTTTACGCTGTGGCAAATGTGAGTTCACCACAGTTTTGCCTCGAAAAATTCGTGAACATTATTGCCACGAACATAATGAAGACTATAATTCTAATTTACCACAAGTGGCAACTAGTGCATCAATAGTAATCCCAGCATACCCTGATACTCATTTTAACGGTTCACAACATATCGACATTGCCCAAGGTCATTGTTCGTCAACAGCACTGGGTCAAGGTCATTGTACGGTGACAGGTGTTTCAGTTGGTACCAGTGGACTCCATTCATTACTTACAACTGGCCCAAATCCTGGAATTCAATTCGCTAGGGCCAATCCACTCATGCCAAACTGCATTAACCAATTTACCTACGAAACACCAAACCATCGTGTTCATGAAGATCGTACTATGGCATCTGACTATTTACGTTCGATTGTCTCTAATATTATCCCTGCCCCGCGTGTTCCAGCTACTAGTACCATCACTTCATCCAGTTTCTATTTACCACATGTCGTAGAATCCTCTCAAGATATCATGTCCCCGACCAATCAAAAGGCAAGTAGGCAATATCACATGACAGACGACGAACAGAAAATGAAATTTAAATCCGAGCCAATGGATAATGACGATATATCTGACGTTTCTAGCTCTGCTATACCACTAGTGATTCATTCTCGGGAAGTACCACGCCCCATGGAAGCACAAACCACTCAAAGACTTTCAATAGATATATACGATAGCAACGTTCCTCCTGATCATAGTAACGAAGAATTTTCATCCAATCAAGTTTACTCTGACTCTGGTTCTCGGCGTAAATATTCACGAGGCAGTACGAGTCATAATATTAGCATCAAATGTGAAACATCTCATATCGGAATTCAGTGTTCGTTACCCGTCATTAAACGAGAACCTATAGACAATGAGTTGAATTATAGTGACAGTCGAAATCGGTCTCAAACTTATCTTATCAGCCGCAGTGTTCAATGTGACCTCCTAACCCAGAGAACTGGCAATCGTTCAACCTCCGACTCTGTGGAAAGTGATCAACAGAATTCAGAGAGTCGATGTAGTCATTGTGGCATCACGTTCGAAGATGAAGTGCTCTTTTCAATCCATATTGGTTGTCACTCACATACAGATCCTTTTGTCTGTAATGTCTGTGGTAAACAGTGTATCAACAAGTATGGCTTTTATTCACATATTATGCGAGGACATCAGTGCTAAATATTTACTATTTTCTTTTTTATTGAAATAAGGTTTTGATTTCCTCCTTTGCTTGTAAGAAATATAAATGTGTTGGTGATAAGGGGAAAAAAATGGTCCGCTCTCACGTGTATTTCAAATCTTTTCCAACTTAACTGAATCAGTAATTGATATGATTAGCCTATGCACAATTTGTCTTTTAATTTTTGGTCAAATTAAAACTCATTTATAACTTTTCTAGCTAAACTTGTTTGTTTTTCATGTGTTTTACACAATAAGCCTACACACTCTAAACATTGGCTCATTTTTGTGTTCGTTTTTTTCCCTTATTTATAAGGATTGGTGTGAGAACAAACAAGCTAAGGAAGAAATCAAGACCTAGATATATTAGTGTATTTTAGTGGTTAGTTTGGACTACAAGATGTTATTTAGACTGGATGTCTATTTGTTATTTGTTATACTACAGGCTTATTTATTGAAGTAGGGGGAATTCCCTTTCAAGAGTTGTTTTCATGTATATCCCTGTCCCTCTGCTCTTGGAAATCTCCTGTTTCAATATTTCCTTCATTGCACACCACACCAGTTGCTCTAACAGGAATGATAAATTAGGAGGTAGGATATACACTCTATTTTATTTGTAACATAATGATGCCTGAAACTGTCTTAGAGTTATTGCCCTTGACTTCTCAATAAATAAGCCTGTAGATTTTTTTAACTTGTATTCTACTATTAAATTTGAAGCTGAGCTTATTTCATAACCAAAAATTATTTTTATGGTTGGTGCTAGGCTTTACCTTATTTGTTATCTTTTTTGATATTTTTGTGTGAAATAAAGATACAGTCGAACAAGATATTTTGCATGCATGGGTATGATTTAAAACATAGACAATCCACTTTATGTTGAGGTAGGACAAGTAGTTATGAATACAATATAAGTCTGATTTATATAGTGCTAATGACTGCTTATTCTACCTCAAATCAAAATAGACTGCTCTTGAGTGTGTTTTGAAGCAATCTCATATGTACTTAAGTATCTTTGCTTGACTATTCATGTATTTTTGAAGACCTACAGCGATATCAAGGTTAATTCTATAATTTCATTGATAGCTTCTTTATTTATCAATGGCATACAAGTTTAGCTTTTGATTGTGACCCAGAAAGTTTGAGATTGCTAAATTTTATTGCGGAAGATTCACTTCATGACATATTGGTTAATCTTCTTTAAAACACTGGTTAACATTTGGGGCACCTTGCATCCTCTCATTTGGCTGACATGGTCCTGTTTTATTCTCCAAAGCGCAAGAACTAAAGGATAGACTTTGTTATATTTCTTATTTTGAATTGGTCAATATTTGGCGACTCTTATTTTGCCCCTGAAAGCTGCAATGTCTAATTTTTATGGGGATTCATTCAACATCATTTAAGGTGAAACTGCTCAATGATAGAAACCCCATGAAGTTAAATAAGAACTGAATAGGACCTAAAAATGAAATCAACTAGTTTGACAAATTGGTTGAAATATTTGTATGTATACAGGCATGCATAATGAAGGACGCAAATTGTACTAGGTCAAATATATTTATGCATATTCATCTACTATATTTATACATATTCATCAACTATATTTTGCATATTCATCAACTATATTTATACATATTCATCAACTATATTTTGCCAATTCATGGGCATTTCATAAACACCAGCATTTCTAGAATTTATGATACACTATGGGTGAATTACTTTTTTCACTCTCTTACTCCCTGATGTTTGAATTTAAAGAAACCTACTTGAACGAAATTGTTTTTTGTTTTTTTTGGCTAAATATTCCCTTCTGTAAAAAATGTTATGTCGAAATTAGAGCTAGAGGGTTTAAATTCCCCAATGTAAAGATTATCAGTGCAATTTTAGAGATTCTTATATAATTCTTATATAAATTGTTTTAAGAAATCCAGAAAGACATAGATCTTACACTCAACAATGATAAACTGTTGTTGTTTTAAACCAATCTGCATGTGCATAACTATATTTGACCTACTTTACTATTTTTGAAGAGAATACTATACAATGTGTTGCTTATTAATAATAATATATAAAATCAATTTTACTGCCATGTTTTTATTATTAGATTTTTACTTATTTTTGATGTACCTAAAAAGTTGTGGAATATTTTACTGCTTGGAGTATTGTTTGTTATAAACTTTTTTTCTATGCTGCTAAAATAAAATATAAGATTTTTAAAAGTTTTTAAGATATTGATGGAAACTTGCTAAAGATGTAAGTGAATCTTCATTCTTCCCCTTTCTGGAGATCCCCTTTCTGGAGATCCCGAGGCCATTAATGTGGTGCTCCTGGATAATGCTGCTTCAGAGGATATCAAAGCTAAAGCTGATATCAAAGACTAATTTTTTTAAATTAAGGGAGGAGGCTTATATATCCTCGTTGATACTGTACTAAATTATGAAAAGCCATGCTTTTCGACGAGCTATAAACATACCAATTGCGATTTTTAGCAATCTTAAACAACCCGATTTCAACATTTCATAAAACTTTTTGACTTTAATAAACATTTAAACTAAATAACAACATAACAGGTATAGCTTATTTACAATTTACATGAACATATATATATATTTGACTACTGCTCCGGTGCGACAGTCATGGAATGTTGTGGGATGTATCAAGCTTTTGCTTTCTGCGAAATCACCATAGCTTTTATAGCTCATATGATTTATGCAAAGAAGCTATTCACGCTTTGATTAATTAGCATACAATGAGGTTGAAAGTCTAAACTTGCTGACTCTTGTGTAGTTTCTCTTCAGTGGCACTCACACCGGTGTATGGTTGCGGTCATAAGTTTACGCGCAACTCTCACACAACTGAGTTGTGAGTTGTGTTCGGAGCTCATGACCACTTTCATTACTCACAACCATACGCAACTGGTAATCATTAAAGGTGCCCACCTCTAGACAAATTATTGGATTTTTTCCTAATGAAATCAGTCTGTTAGCTCTATGTATGAACAGATAGAGACTTTTTGGAAGTCGTCAAAAAACAAACTTTTTACACTGTTCGAAATTGGCTGTATTTTTTACAGTAGTATGCCATCAGCTTTGCTGCCAACTGAATATCGAAAAATCTACACTGTACCATACTTTTCAAACCATACAATAGTTTGTTTGTGTATCAGGGAGTTGATAAGTGTCGGCAAGTTAAATATGAATGTCTACTTCAAATTGCCGAGGAACAGAGGCGAAAAAGGAGATCAGAATAGACCTTAAGGTTCCCTCATACCATAGCGATCACTAGTTGCGTATGGTTGCGAATAATAAAAAGTGGCCACAAGTTTTGAACGCAACTTTCAACTCAGTTACACAAGAGCCCCAAACTAATGACCGCTTCCCCTACGCACTACGCTACTTTTATTTGTAACCATGAGAGTTACTCTAAGAGTACGATATTAAAATAGTAAACTATCATGGGTGTACTTGGTGAACAAGTAACACTAAAAGTTCCGATGCCAAAATAGTTCCTTAATGACTAAAACTTGCCGAATGCTTGGATGAAATATTGTACAATATGGGTGTATTGTCGAAAATAGAACGAAATGTGGCAAGATTATAATAGCGAAAGGATGGAAAAGCAATCTTTTTCATATCATTTCCTCGATATCGCGAAGAACGGCAGGACGCAGTGGCTTACTAGCGATGTCTATGAAGCAACAGTATTTAATAAAGGGAACTCCTTTAGGTTCTACTTAGGGAGATCATTTCACAACCTTACATTTGCATTATCTGCTGTTGAAAGCTATGTGGCTTTAAACCGATTCCTCCTGAAGGGAGACAATCTTACATTTGCATGATTTGTTGAATGATATTAACACCGAGCATAGCAACGCATGATCTCCAGGTAAAATCACGTGGTGGTATATAATGGGAACTGATATTGTCCATACTAATTGCTCTTTGAAATACAGTATTTACAAACGTTGAATTCCCATCCATTTTCTTCCTTGTATTTTGTATAAGAGATTGTGGTATGGCAATAATTACTGACTCTAGAGTGATATCTGTCTGAGTACTCGCGTCCTGGAAAATAAAATATATATTTAGATTAAATTTCTTGCAAAATTATACTCATTTCACAATACATGGCCTTATCTGGACCAGAAAGACATTCCAATATGGATGTTTGATCTCATAAGTTACCACACCAACGGTAGCCAAAGGTAGCTGCTCTATTCAACAAAATGAATGATATGACCACCCAACCCGTGCCCTAAACAAGTCATCCTGTTGAGTTGTTGTAACAATGTCAAGCTATTACGAACTTCGACCTTTACCTCGACTGCAATAGTCACCTTTCTCGTATCACGGAAGTTTGTAAATGCAGCGATTTGGTTGGATTGTACGTTAGCGAATACAGCCACTGTAATGTTTACAGGCTTTCTGTCTAGGTCTCTGATTGGCTGTAATCGCTGGAATACAATCCAATCTAATCGCTATATTCTGTGAAACAAGAAAGTGGATATTGCAGTCAAGATATAAGACAAATTTCGCAATGGCTTGACATTGTGGAGATGCAGATCTGCATGCATTAAATTTATGCAATCTAAGTAAATACAGTGTTATGATTAATAAGTCGATAATACTATTGATTAAAACCATATTGTAGAATTAAAACAAACCGACAGTCGATAATTCACACTGTATTCCCTCGAGGCTAGTGTTAAGTCTAGAAGCTGTGGAACCTGTTGGTTTATCCTCCCTTATTACTGTTAGATGTCAGATCTAATTAACTACTCATTAATACTTAATGAGCACTGGAGATAGTGCTCAGTGACTCAAATACCATAGGGACTGGTTGAGCCAAGCCCACAAGCCCCCATACCATAAAAATGCTGAAGAGCATATGTTTAACAAAAATCCAGTGGGAGGGGCCCAACCCACTGAAGTCCTCGTGCCCCCATTCATCCAGTTTAGTCTGCTTGTGCTTCTTGACAGTAATCCAAACATCTTGTGCGTCTGTATACATGTTCTTCGATAGAATCAAACGAAGATTCTATGATAAGCTTATAATTTGGACTCATTAATTTCGTACACCACGAGTCTTAAAACTACTATACCGGAAAAGATTGTCTCCGGGGCCATTCTTCCATATGAGTCAGAAAATTTGAGCTGCACTAAATCAGAGCTCTCAAACATCAAGATGCGACTAGGTTTGTCAACTTGGCAGCCCTCTCTGAGGATCATTATTAGTAATGTTGCAGTATAAGATACTAAAATGTGGAATGTAAATTAATCAATACATATTCTTCAAATCTGTGATCTGATTGCTAGGCAGATGGTGACGGGTTGGTGAATTGCTCATTTACATTTTAACTGTAGATCAATGTTGTAATCTCTAGTTCTCTAATTAAAGGTCTGGACTGATTGCTATACAGATTGAAGACTATGTTTGCAGCCTGGCAATAGTAATAAAGAATTTATCTCCACCAGATCCTTACAAATCACTGAGATAACAGATATTCGTCCCTACACTCTACATATAAATAAAACTTTATTCGAAACAAATATTCATTCATTCATTCATTGTGGAATTCATGCGCATTAATCATTGTGGAAATCATGCATTCATTCCTTCATCATTGTAGAAATCATTCATTCATTCCTTCATCATTGTGTAAATCATTCATGAATTGTGTAAATCATTCATTCATTCATTGTGGAATTCATACATTCATTCATTGTGGAATTCATACATTCATTTATTCATTCATTGTGGAAATCATTCATTTATTCATGTGGAATGCATACATTCATTGTGCTATTCATACATTCATTGTGCTATTCATACATTCATTGTGCTATTCATACATTCATTGTGCTATTCATACATTCATTGTGGAAGTCATACATTCATTGTGTTATTCGTACATTCATCCATTGTGGAATTCATACATTCATCCATTGTGGAATTCATACCTTCATTTATTCATTCATTGTGGAAATCATTCATTTATTCATGTGGAATGCATACATTCATTGTGCTATTCATACATTCATTGTGGAAGTCATACATTCATTGTGCTATTCATACATTCATCCATTGTGGAATTCATACATTCATCCATTGTGGAATTCATACATTTATTCATTCAATGTATAAATCATACTCGTACCTGTCTATCATGTTGTTGTCTTTTTAAAGCACCAATAGCTTCGGACACTGTTTTATTTTTAGCCGAGAATCGAGTCAAGTTCATCAAACGCATAGAATATCTACATTCGGGCATTGGGCACACAAAATGTCCAATCTCCTTCATTTTGTTACTGTATGTTCCGTTTAATTTCCCTTCGCGTATCACTTCCTCTCGAAGCCGGGCTAAGCACTCACTACAGAAGGTATGTCCACAGGGTAATATCCGAGGCCTTCGGAAGAGTTCACCGCATAAATAACACGTTAGTACGGATTGCCAGTGAGGGTTTTCATCTGATCCAGAGGACCCAACACTACCTTCTAAAACTGACGACACCATATTAGGAGATCGCGGTGCCAAACACAAACACCGGGTTTGCTTCAGAGAAATATGATCGGCCATCAAACGGACTTTAAAATTGACATTCACCGTGTTCGTATATGCTGTACAGCGCGTGATATTCTCCGTCAATCAATACAATAATTGATTTGTATGTCGTCATTTCTCGATTGTATACAATACAATGTTCCCAGCTAATTTTTAGTGTTGTCTCAATATTATTTGATCACAGAGAAAAACCGGTGTTTTATTTTGAATCATTGAAAGAAACCAATAGATAGCCTATTAGTGGAGGAAATCCTGACGTATTATTTCAGACCAAAATCTTAATCCTAGGCTTGTATCACAAGTAATAACGTGTCCAAATAGCAAAGCTTGTCACAGTGCAAGTTTTTCGTAGTCAGATTGACATCACCACTGTATCCATGAAAATCACCATTCAGACAAATACAGAATGTCCAGTACACCAAAGGTATAAACCTACACCCCAGGGTTAGTTTGAAACTTTTAACTATGTGTCCTTGATACATTATCTAATTAAAGTATTGAAAACATCTGAAGGATGATATGTTGATTAAAAGGGAAGAAGAGAAAAGGGTGGCCAAGGGCTACTATTTCGCAATATGTAATAATCTTAGAGCAATTATGTTTTCCAGAAAATATCTCTTATGGTGGACTGGTGGACAAGGACTGGTATTGTTTTGAGCTAAGCGCAATTTGCTGTGGCTACAAGATATCAAACGGCAAATAATTCTTAATGGTTCTACACAGTACGAAGATTATTATAATAGCTAGTGCATAATGGCTTCACGTAAAGAATATAAGCTCACAGCAGTTCATAATGGCTTTACGTAGCGTATACAAACTCACATCAGTGTGGATGATAGTTTTACGTATCGTTTATAAGCTCACAACAGTTCATAATGGCTTTACGTAGCGTATACAAGCTCACATCAGTGTTGATAATGGTTTTACGTATCGTTTATAAGCTCACAACAGTTCATAATGGCTTTACGTGGCATATGAGTTCATAATAGTTTATAATGGTTTGACGTGGCATATAATATACCCCCAGAATAGTTCATAATGGCATAACGTAAAGTATAATAGCTCAACATTTTATAATGGCTTTACACGGCATATAATATACCCTCATAATAGTTCATAATGGATTTACGTAAAGTATATTAGCCCACAATAGTTCATAATGGCCTTTACGTAGAGTATATTAGATCACAGCAGTAATGATGGTTTTAGGTTGCAGCTCTCAGTAATAACACAACAATCCATAATTTTTTTTACGTGACATTACATTATAAGCACTCAAAACTTTTCGTGGAGCGCCATGCAATCTTAAAATTGCTCTTAGTTGCAGAATAACATCTTAAATAAATGTCTCGTTTATATCCATCGCTTGAAAATGCATCGACGTATTTGGCTTCCCTTTGTGGCCAAATCATAATGGTTTAACGTCATAGTACAAACAGCTCGTCATAACGTCATGTTTGGCGTTATAGAAACCGTTGCTATTTCTGACATTTTGTCGGTTTGCTTCGACGTTTTCTTATTTTCTGCAATATTTTTTACTATTTTTTAATCTTTTACAATGAAAGGCAAAGGAAAGAAGATAGCTGATAAACCAAAGAAGGTAAGCAAGTGCCTCTTATAAGAATAATATTTATAAAATTGTGATTTTGAGACGATTTAAACGGCCAAACAATATAGGGTGAAACTGAAAGTTCATCACAAGCTGATCTGAAAGACTGAACTGAAAAGCACGAAAGGTTAAATAAAAAGATTTTCAGGAGGCTTCTAGGTCAAGAAGTTACAAAGTTTCGATAATTATATTGGCTCAAAATAAGAGACTCTCAGTCGCAATCTTGTCTCTACAATTTAGTTCAACTTGATCTAAGCCTAAATCTAAATGACTGAGTAGCTAAACATTCAAGAGCTGTGCAATGGATTCTGATCGTGATCCTTAACCAGGGCTTGTCTACAACTATGAAATAAGCGTCTATGTTCGAGTGGGAAATAATAAACACACTTTGACATATTAAGTAAGTTGACTTGAAAAAAAATTTACTTTCAGAAAATCCCAGCGAAGCAATCAGCCAAGGTAATCAGAGATGCTCAAAATCAGCTGAAACAGAACGAAGAATTGACAGACTCACAAGGAGGTGGCGATACCAGACGAACCACTAGTTCAGTGTCCGGCTCCGATAACCCAGCAGACAACAAATCAAGCTCAATGTTTGTGATCAAGGATTCAAACCCGAGTGATGCCCTTTCCCGACAACCAGTACAATACATTATAATTCAAAATGGAAAGACTGGGGATAGAATCCACGGGAGTACGGGGGATCAGTCGGTTATTTACCTCAACAGCGACAATAATACGACGGTGAAGGTCCGGGGCACCGACCTGGAGCAGCTGATGCTCCAGACCAGCCAGAATCCTCTGAATTCCACCAAGGCTCATCCGACAGTGATTGAGAAATTAAGTCATTGTCTCAATGGACAGGGTCATCCGACAGTAGTAAAGAACCAGACTCTTTGTAAACAGGAACCAATGACTTATGTCAGCAATTTGAGAGAGAATGCCAGTGTGCAACAAGGTTAGTGCCTTTCTTTAACGTGAAATCCCCTCAACCTCCGTTTTCATCTTGAATGTAGGAATTGCCGACCGATCTTTAGACATCAATGTGCTTAATAGAAAAACTGTGTGTATACCTTTCTGGTTGTAGGTTACCATTTGAATGCTTGCCAAATCCCTGCAAATTTGTTTTTCAAAATTATACCAGTACCTCATACACGATCTTTTCAGGGACAAGGGAGACCTACAGAACTACTGGAGCCAACAGTCGCAATAAAAGTGGCAACATCAAAAGACCAATGAATGCCTTCATGGTATGGGCGAGGACCTACCGCGGATACCTGGCGCAGACCATGCCTAATGCCACTAATGCCGAGATCAGTGTCAAGCTTGGTCAGGTCTGGAATGAAATGACTTCAGAAGAAAAGAAACCTTTTTATGCCGAGGCAGACCAGATTAAAAACCAGCATAAGAAAGATCATCCCGGTGAGTAACAATACAAACCTGGTCGTAGAAAACACCATAAATGCCTGCTAGCTGGCTATATATTGAAAATAATCGAATTCGCTTTATTTCTAATTTATGTATACTATTAATAAATGTTTTTGCAGGATGGGTATATCGTCCACAACCATCTAAAAAGCGTCAAGACGACATCCTAACGCACAGTTTACTATGGGCGAGATTCAATGGTTCTTCATCATCTGCTACTTTAGCCAGAATTGCTACTGAAGCTGCATCAAATCCAAACAATAACCAAATACTGCTTCCTGCGCCCCAAGTGGTGCAACCACTCCAGCCGGTACAACCAACCCCTGTGATACCAACTACCAAAGTTGTCACCCCAGTTCAAGCATACGTCCAGCCACATGCTCTGCGACCTACAGCTCCGACCTCTTCACATTACATTATTGATCCAAAGTATCTAATCCAAAATTCTGGATCACAGCCCACAATTCAGAAACAACAAGAGTCACAGATCTCCAGTAATGCCGCTCTAAAACCATCTGGACAAATCTTAATCGCATCCAAACCAGCAAATCAGTCGACGACATCATCGAAACCCAAGAATGTCCAAAACGTCTCCAAGCATATCAGCTACGTCAGTAAACCCACCCAGAAAGTTGTGGATCCAGTGAAGACGCTGGAAGAGGAACCCCCTAGATTGTCCTATTATCCATGGACTGTGAACATGTCTTCAGAAAACCAACCCATCTCCTTCACCATTCATGATAAAGGATCGACGAAGTACCAACCCAGTGGGATCCTGACTGAAAACAACAAAAACGTGGTGAAGATTGAAGGTGAGTTTATTTGAAAATGCTTTAAGCCGCCCAGTGTGGTGTAAGCAACCATCGGATCCAAGTTCTTGATCAGACGTGACCCTAAATGGGACTGTAAAGAGGTCATCTTAACTTTGTATTTGCATCCGGAACGCAGATATTTTGCACTATTACAATTTTCAGTATTCAGTTTCTTCCGTTAGTGCTTTTTATGCATTATTGTTCTTTTTTTCCAGAATTTATGAAGACAATGCCAGACACTTCACATCATAAATTCATCTCAGATGAGTAAGTATGAATTACAGCTTGGAATAACCTGGGAAACCAAGGGCTGCATCTTTAAGGACAGTTAGTGAGATATTTTGCCTTGACATTGCATCTGAATATAAAAAGTTTTTGAATATTTGAACACTAGAGGATGACTTGGATTTGATTAATCGGCATTGTCACCTATGATCCGATCTATTGACCACAGGTCGATTTACAGAATAACATTCTGGTAAACTAACCTTTGATTATACAAAGCCGGGTAGGACACATGGCGATTCCCAAACTGTCAAAGCTGTGTGGGCCTGTAGATCTAAGACATCAGGGAAATTTTAGTCACAAACCGGGTTTATCTTTCCTTTACATACAGTGTCAAACTTTCTTTCCAGGGGTAGCCAAGAGCGTCATTTCTCCTACACTCAGAACAACAATGAAAATGGTGAAACAGAAACGTGGACGTTTGCTTTCCCTGCCTCCGAATACGGTCCATTTGATAAGTTGTCTCCTCGAGATATTCCCAAAGATAACATCTTGTTCAAAGGTAAGAGAAAACATGTTGACATAATATTGTCCTTCTATAACGGTAATACGGAGCAAAACGCATGACATTCCTATGTCGCCAAGGCAGAAATTGTGTGCTGTGGTCCTGTTAGCTTGGCTCTATGTGGAACATGCTCTACCTACCAATAAACTTGGTGGTCCTTAAAGTTAACAATCACCAACAATCCAATATCTATGAAGACATAAACAATAGGAAGAGATCTGTCTATTTCGGGTTGAATACAGATTTGAACGCACCCCAGCAACTAAATTTGTTCGCTTGATTTCAGGTGGTGAGTTCGAATTCCATTCCATTGATCCCAATGATCCTTTTTATATCGACTACGATTACTCTTATCCAGAGAAGGTCACATCTGAACTCAACCTGAACGTTGGAGGGTGAGTATTAATTATTCGGAATGTGTCAACTCTCCTCTCTTTGGTGAAAATCGAAAGAGTGGTTGAGAATCTTCCCAGATAGATTGGAAGCCAGGTTAATTATAAGGCCACACACCTTTCAAGCAAGGTTGATTATTTGCAAGAAACATCCAGTCCTAACATTGCAACAATTTGTCCACTATGATTTTTGAATGCAGATGAGGTTGCCAGATGAATAGAAAAATAAACGAGATGGTTGTAGTGCGAATCAATTGATCATTGTCCCTAATCGCCGCTAACTACTCACCGCATCCCAGTACTAGATATTCAACCAAACATTTTTGTTTCAGTTGGAGAAACTTTCTGGTAGCAACGGACTCCAAAACCGTTCTTGAAGAACAAGTCATGGATATTTTGGACGCCAATGTTTGTAGTCATGGTAAACAGTGCCAACAGTGTTCCAGCGAAATCATCATAGAACCCAAACCAGTTTCACAAACTTTAACCAGATGCAGAAATAAAAAATCCCAAAAGGTAAAAACAGAGCAAGACTCTATCGGACACACTTCACAGCTTCTGAGTCAATCGAGTGACATCTTGAATCCTTCTTACAGCCTCAAGGCGTCTGATATTAAAATACCTTCTCCGGAGACTTTGACCAATTCCTTAACCCTAACCACCATCGGGGGAGTGATGGACAAGAAAAAGTCGCATCATCGAAAAGGTGGTAAGAAGAAGCAAAGCTGCCCTCCAGAGCAGGTTAATTATGACGGCTACACCATCGACTCCGCGTGTATGGATGTGGCCGAATTTGTGGATGTGGACACCACTTCATTTGAAGAACAAAGTGCACAGTCGACTGAGATGCCAGAGCAAGACCAATACGTGTGCAAATCCGATCCTGATACACAGCCAAGGCAAAATGAGTACCAGTCTGTTTCTGAAAACTACGATTATGTTCAATCGCATCTGATCAATGACAATACAACTAAGATGGAATGCGAGGATTGGCACCAGAGCGACGCTCAGTATACGCATCCCGACAAAACCGTCGACTCGGGGTACCTTAGCGGATATTATCCTTATGACATTAAGTACACTCCTGAACTGTATGCACCGAGTGAGGTGGATTCGAGCAATATCAGCACACCTTATTCCGATCCACACATCCATGATCAGAAGTATTCGCAACAGAATCCTTTGGACGGTACCCACTGCCAATCATCTCAGACTGTCATCGTGGAACACTGTGATAGGAAAGACCATGTCTCGGAGTTCGTAGATGATACTAACAACGTTTACCTATTTTGTTCAAGAGAAGAGATGATCACAGAAGAAGTCCCTTTTGAGGACACAAACCTTGATCATCAATCGGTGAATTTAGCCATGAATGAAGCCAAAGCTTCACAAGACGTTTTTCAACGACCTACGAAGATATTACGCCATTTATTAGACAACGACGTTACTAAGGAATCTGTGGTGTCACCTACTTGTGATTCTTTGACAGGGGAGGATAACGCTGATCATCTCCAAGTTATTTCAGACATTGCAGAATGTGTCCAAACATTTACCGCATCGGAAGCTCTTAGCGTGGACAATTATGAGTTACATTCTCGAGTAACAAGATCTCACCGACGCTGAATATTTTTAGATCTATCATAGACTTTAACCGGTACATAATATTTTTCAATACAATATTAACTTTTTAAAACTTTATTTCTAAAAATTATTGACAAACTTAAAAGCTGACCATGTCTTTCAAATATCGTAATTTTTGCTATTAACATATTTATTTTAGTCATATACAAAAATCCTAGTTTTTCATTTGTTTAGTTTCTTAATAAAACATAAAAAAAATATATTGTCTGTTACAATAACAAGCTATTAAATCCTTCAGAGCAGTCACGGAGCCAAAGTGGGGGCAGATGGGGCAGCAACTCCCCCTCGCAACCCCGAATGCAAGTTTTTCAGACAAAAATCTCATAACTAGGTTAAAGATTCGGGGGCAATCTCAGATATCTCACCCAGATATCTCACCCCCTCGGATGTAAACCTGGCTCCGCTACTGCTTCAGAGACCACAATATTGTCCAGCTATTGTCAAAGCTTTCTGTCAAAACTTCAAAACTGAAAAGAACTGCTGGACTATAACTGTAACTCCTTTAAATTTGAACTTTACAACTTAAGTTAAATAATCAAAATAATTAATCTGAAAACTGACTCAAATAGCTTAATGGAGCTCCTATCAGCTGATTAAGTAAATAATTCGGATCTTATCCGAATGAACACTTTTAGTATAGTAACTAGCATAGTACACAAGTCACCAAAATAGTGATAAGACTGTTCTTTGGAGTTTTTAACTGTCTCCTTAAGATGGAGGTAAATGGGTCCAATCTATTGGCGTCTTGTTGTGTTGTTTTAAATAGTCATTACACTTAGAGAAATGTTGACAGCCTAGAAATCCTCTATGAGCTGATAATGGTGAAGGATGGACTGACTTCAATATACAATGGTTCTTCTGAAAAAACAAAAATATCCTAATAAATTTAGGTATGTGAACTCTCTTAAATGAATGCCTTATTGACAAACAAGATACCAAATATACATTATTATTTAGTGAAGTTTACTTTTCTGGATGCATCTACCAAATGGTAGACTGAAAGGTTGATAAACTCCAAAAGAACATTTCATGTAAACTTGTGAACCCTCCAAAAAAGTCTGCAGCTAATGGCATGCCAATAAAGACGCTCCAAGAAGCAATGGAGGGTTGACAAAACAAATTTCAAACAATGAAAAGGGAAGAGGTCATACTTACTGCATTGATATGAGCACCTTTCTTCTGTGCATAGGCTCCCCACAGCATGAAGACAACCCCAGTGGTATTCTTATTGATCCAAGCTATCACAGCATCAGTCAGTTTTTCCCATCCCTTCCCTGCATGAGAATTAGCTTGGGATGCTCTAACTGTTAAACAGGCATTCAATAAGAGAACTCCTAAAAATGACAAAAAACAATTTATATGATTTGCCAACTGTATAAATTTGACAAGCAATCATTGACAAGCAATCATTACATGTTTAGCCTCTATGATCAAAATTATAAGTCTGTATTTGTTCTTGGCATTGATCTGGTGAACTACTTCAAGCTACTGGACTAATGAAGTCAGATAAATACTGAGACCGTAACATTTATCCTCACTGTTGTCTGTAGCCACACATACACATGGATTATATCCCTTCCATATAACTATGATGTATAAGTCTTTTGGCCTTCTGTCACGTCATTATGTACTGTTTTAGACAGGAAAAAAAATCTTTGAGACTGCATGTCTGATTCCTTATAAGTTTCCCGAAAAATATTACAGAGACCAACCTTGCTCCGCCCAGCCATTCAGAGTACCATGGGTAGGGATTTTAAAACCAGGAATATCATTGGCTAATTCTTTATACATATTGACTAGACTAGGGGGTGATTTCACTCCTTCCTGTACACTAAAACATAATCCTGAAACAGAGAAAATATCAATTATATACAATCTGATCCCTTCAGAGCGGTTTGAACTCTTGTATCTCTATCTAGGATTCTTATAGCTGGCTCTTGGGCCACTGAGATGTTCTGTGTTTCTATAACAGACAAATAGAATATGTCAACTTACCATGTGCTTGTTTTGGACCATGATATGGATCCTGTCCTAAAATGACAACTTTTACCTGAAAATTAGAATAATAACTGTATAATACTGCTTCACACAAATCAAACCTTCAAATGAAAATTCCACGAAGATACTACTACTGGCCACGTATTCTCGAAACGCTCGAAAGCGTTAGGATGTCCTAGATTCTTATCTTCTAACACTGATTCTAGGACATCCTAGAGCTAAGATCATTTCGAGAATACATGGCCTGGTTCCTGCTCGTCTGACAGGCAAAGCAATACAATACAATGTGCAACAATGTTGTACTATTTCCCCAGGAATTTTTGTTCTGTAGCACATTCATCTTATTGCTTATTTGAACAAATATTTAACATCCCATCTGATTGACTCCTGTACTGAGGCAAAGTAAGAGATAGTTAGCAAGAGAAAATAATCTAGATATCACCTCTTCTATTGGAGAGAAATTTGTCCAGCTATAAACTTGATGTGGTGGAGGATAAACTGTTCCTTTACTTCGTTCATTTTCTACAAACTTACACAGCTGTAAATATAGAGTAGTTAATCAGTTAATCTGGTCAAACTTTGTTTTAGTCCAAGTTGTCTTGTGAGGGACAGACATGTTAAAGGTATCAAGTGGGCTATAAACCATACCTGTTACAAAAGTAAAAAAAAAATGGCTAATGCTGTTGTCCTGTCAAAAGTGTCCTTCATTACTCCACTCCACAGTAGATAAGCCAAAATTTTATTACCTGTGTAAAGTAGGACTTTGTAAATTCATGTTCTAATGCCTTATACCACGACTTTCCCATCAAATCTTTTAACTCAGTGGATTCTTGTGACAATCTTCTTGTTTTTAATTTCTCCATGGCTGCAGCTTTATTTTCATTCATTCTTTTAACTTGTTCAGGGGAAAGCGACTCTTTCTCTGCTTTCTGTTCTTTATCCAGTTTTCCTTTCTTTGTGGGTGTTTTCTGAAAGAGAAGGAAGTTATCAAATTCAAATTGGCATTTTAGATCTTTAATTTATATTTGATTGAAATTGGTCCTGAGATTTATGACAGTGTATACTTGAATTTGACACCAAAAATTGTTTTCCAATTTGCCAAACTTCACCCTAGCCCTAGCAATTTTTTTAAATTTGAAATGATCATAGCATAGGCCAAAATGTAAGGATAAATTTAATGGGGTCACTATCAGAGGCTAAGAAACCCATCACAGTGTCTACTAAATTGAAAATTTTAACTTGTAGGCCTAATCCATCCAACAAACGGGCAATAAGAACATGAAAGAAGGGTCCATGAGTTATGCCTAGGGAATAAAACTGATACATGGCAATGAATGAATGCATGAAGATTCATATTGTAAAATGACTGATCGCACCTGATCGGAATTATTATCGTACAATGGCCGTTTATTAGAGGTTGAAAAGAAAGACGATATTTTGGCCTGAGAAGACATGACACTGTTTCGTAATGAAGCTTTTCGTCTGTTAAAATTGGTAAAGTATTTCATTAACATGCTTCATCTCCCGCCATTTTTGTTTACATATTCTTTGTAACTAATACAAAATGTATTCCCGATTGTCCAGACGTCTAGTTTATTGAATGACCAAATAATCAAGTCTACTGAATGGTCGTACTTGATAAAATTAAACCGATTCGTTATTTGGTAATGATTCAATTCTACCTCATTATGTCAAATTTTCAAATAATTACCTATTTTGCATGACGAGACCCATTATTACACATAAATACATAAATATACACCGTACTATTGTTTCATGTATCCTCAATTGAAAGTTAACCAATGAACACCTTGATCGTTTTTATATGAAAATCAAAGTTGACCCCATCTTGTTGACATAAGAAATGAAATGAAAGAAGAAAATGATAAGGTTCAATGGTTTCGAATCGATCTGATATTATCGGAATTTCTGCTGTATCATTAAGGTATAACGAACCAGGATTTTGTAGTTTAAGGTTTGTGTGATGTTTTACAAAATTCCGGAAGTTTATTATTCATAGGTCTTAATGAAGGGCATAAACAAGTGGAAAAGTCGAATTGAGTGATTAGGCCTAGATTAAAAGATTAAGGAAGGGGGCCTAATCACCAAGTGTTTATGGATGAGATACCTCATGAAATTTACTCACTATGAGTTCTAGTCCAGTCAATAGTCAGATGTTCATTTATTCATTTATTTATGTAGACTAATTTGAAACCAGTGAGTAATAAAAATTTTAATAAAATGTTGAACTGAAATTACCACAATCAAGTCAAATCAATATCTTTGATCTCATGCAGAACCCATTATTTAAGGTGTATTAAAACTACATAGCTTCTGATTTTTCAGACTTGTTTCCCCCTCAGTAGCGGAGCCAGGTTTACGTCCGAGAGGGGCCGAAATATCTGAGATTGCATTGCCAATTTCATTACTGTAGCTGAATGAAGAGAAAAAAATAGGATTAAAAACTTGATTTCATTTGATTTTCATTGCTTATTTAAGATTAGAAAAGTAGACGGTAAAAATCTAATTCAATTCATTAAGTATGACCTCTAGATTTATAGTATATCGTTATTCAAGTATTATCATCATGCTATTATTACATACCTGTACAAAACCTAACTAATGTTATTACATCATAAAAAATCAATTCTAATTGAACACAAGTTGTCTACAACATCTGTTTCATTTATCGTCTAGCCTATTCATTATTCAGCTGGAAAAATCTAGTTGTTTGATATCAATCATTACATATTAAAATTTTATGGTATTGATTTTGTTTTGTTGGTATATCATAATACGTGGTATTGTCTTCAAGTCTTATTAGAGCTGGGTGATATTGGTTCAAGTGGATAATGCAATATTTGTCATTTATATAAAGGTATAGTGCCCAGCCTAAGTCTACTCTCTTTCAGACTATCCTGAGTGTTTTAATATGTTTAACTGGTGGCTTATTTGATTTTTACAGCTGGACATTCCTTTTGGAGAGTGCACATAGATATGTTTATTAGTTATAGTATAAATTGTGGCTGTGGCTTTAGAATGAAAATAAGGAAATGTTTAAGATGACTATTTTTGGGTTTATGTATTTAAGTATGATTTCTTGAACCGTAAATTAATGAGTCAAATATTTTTATATTTTTAGAATCTACTGTTATTGAAGTGCCAATAAGGACAGAAAGGCTGTGAGAAGGGATACAGGTCCAACTCATTGGAAGTGAGATAATCATCTTGCTGTGTGGCAAGACAGATCAAGCTTAGGCCATTTTATGTCAGTTTAGCTGGAAGGATTACAAGTGTTTTGATTGGATGCTAGCCATTGCATTAGAAATGTGTTTTTAGGAAATTAAAAAAATATTGTCTGCTTCCAGGGAAATTCGATCAAAAATTTATGATAGTTGAGGAAATAAACCTATTGCTTGAAAGTTGTGTTACAGCATTTTGTCTTTGATGGGTCGTTTTTTTTTTTACAGGTTACAAAATTTGTACAAGAAGATCTACCAAAATCTGTGATCTAACCAATTATTCGATTTCAGTCTCAAAATGGCTGACAATGGAACCAAACACCCACCAGGATCTGCTGGAATTCCTTTACTTGGAGACAAATCTTATGATTTTTATAAAGATCCACCAAGTTTTTTTGAGAAGAATGCCAAACATTATAAAAGTCGTGTGTTTTTAACTCGATTCCTGCTCAAACCAACAGTATTTGTTGGGTCAAGTCAAGGTTTAATTGACATCTTTGCCGGTAAGATTTTTAAATGATATACAGTTCATTCATCATGTTTACTTTATAAGTAGCTTTTAAGGCAGGGGCGTATTTTTGAAAACTTAACTTAATATGATTTTAATGTTCCAGTCATCTTATTGGTCAATGATTTAAATAGATTTTAAATTTGGTATATTTTATTTTGGTGCTGAAATCTCGGAAAAACATCTCTGTATATCGGACAACCAATTTCAGCAAGAATGATATATTGGTATAATTTCAGATAAAGACAACTGTAATGAGTTGGGATATAAAACTTTTCTGGGGCAGATTTTTGGTGAAAATATTCTTTTTACTGATGGTAAGCTTTTAAAAATATTCAAATTTATTTTAAAACCCACAAATTATAAGAAACTTTCAATGAACCAGGTATATTGGCAATGTTTACGACACAGAACAGAAAGAGTCAGTGTCCCTTAAATTCATTTCTTTTATTTTATTATTCCAATATTTTAGGTAAGCCTGCTGAACAGCTACGAGAAGCGTTATTTCAGTTGTTTACTGATGATTGTATCAAAACATATCAACAAACAGTCGACAGGTATTAAAACTTCACATGTTTAATAAAAATCTTACATGTTTCTTCAAGATCAACCTAGTTTTTATTTCTTGGAGGTAATAATTCAACACCTCATTTGCCAAGAAGAAAAATACTCTTATGCTTGGTTCTGATTAATCCTTAGAGATCACATAAAATAATAGAACACATATTATGGTATACAGGTAGTTTATTGTATATTAACTGATGTGGTTTCATCAAAACTGTTATAATTCAACACCTCATTTGCCAAGAAGAAAAATACTCTTATGCTTGGTTCTGATTAATCCTTAGAGATCACATAAAATAATAGAACACATATTATGGTATACAGGTAGTTTATTGTATATTAACTGATGTGGTTTCATCAAAACTGTTATTTTATTGTAGAATTGTGGACAAGGCAATCCAGAGCCTAGACACAAGGTAAGTATGACTAGAAACACAGTACAGTATAATTATGAATATAATGCACACCCTTCCTACTCCCTAGTAATGTGCACCCTGTCCTGATATATTGTGATGACGGACATGCTTGTTTTGACCACATAATGAGATTTTAAAAATTTATGTTTACAGTAAGATATTTTAAGGAAGCCACCTTTTTGTTGAAAAACTTTCGGCAGACCTTACATTGGATTAGTTTACTCCCAGATATGTCTTACATGTTTTGTATCTGTTTACAGTAAACCTCTTTGTATATACGCCTTTTTTAAACGACTAGTGACCGAGATCTGTTTAACATTATTTCTGGGCCTGGATTTTGATGAAATGAAAGATCTAAGTGAAACCATTAGTTCTTTAACTACAACTCACTGGCATGGTATGTATTCAAAACATTAGGATCAGGGGTGTGTTAGAAAACGCCTGAGGGAGAGGCCAAAAATGAAAAGTGTCTCTCCGAGGCGATGCCCAAAGCCCCCCCCCCCCCCTGAATATGCTACTGAATAGGATGCTGGAAATCTTTGTATTTTCACCTCTTGATAGATAGTTTCATCTTCTGTGTTTGTTTGAGATTAGAATAATATTTTCTACTAGTCACTGGCCTAGGCAACGAAAACGAAAAAGAAACATTCCAGCAGCACATTGTCTGGTATAAAATTATTTTGCTTTGTAAATTAAGTTGAATTTTGAATTATGAAACTGCTAGGCGACATTTGTAAAGGGTTCAACAAGAATGAGGCTATTAAAGAGATTAATGAATTTGTATCTGACTGTGATGATGTTGTAATTTTAGGAATAATTTCAATGCCATTATCAGTAAAAGTGCCTGGATTAGGAAGTCAGTCGACTTATAGTAAAGCTCTACAAGCCAAGGTAAGATCTTAAAACAAACTTCATCAATATTGATTAGTAATATTCAGGTAGACTTGAAAATCAGGATCAATCTGGATTATATCAGTTCATATTTTACTTATTATACAAGCCAAAAGTTTGAAATTTAAAAGTGCTTCAGGTACTATTCCACTTTTTTTCACTTTGTTATATTTTAGATAGAGCTATTAAAAGTGATAGAAGCTAGAAGAAAAGAGGATAAAAAAGGTTTCCATGTAAAATTAGAAGAGATAGATGAACTAGATGATTCAACCATTAATAATCATCTACTGCTCTTTACGTCTGCTCTGGTACCTAAAGCTATATCATCATTATTAACATCATTTATAGTTGAGACTGGAAAACCAGATAAGGTAAGGTACTGTTATTAGTTTTGGGATATACTATTGAGAAGGGGATAACTGGCATCTTCTAATGTCCTTTATAGTCAAAAACTGTGTAGCCTGATACAGTATTATTGTGAATATAGCACACACCATTTCCTACCATTGAGAGAATCTGTACATGGCATTGCCGGTCTGCATTATCCCAATCTAGAAAAGTATTTCATAGTAGACAGCCTTTACAGAAGATTGCGAGATTCCTAGTTAATCTTTTATCAGTTGGTTTTCACTTTTATGTTTGGAAATCCTCCCGATGACATTGCGCATAACAAGGAATTGAATTTTCCAGATCTCGTGGCAGAAAGCCTGTTTATTAGATGAAGAATTCCATGAACATCTTTTACTGGAAGTTCAGCGTTTTTATCCTCCATTTTTTGGTGGAAGACGAGAGGTTATTAAGGTACGAAACAGAACTGTGAATTTTCACTGGTAAAACCTGAAGATTTATGTACTAAAAGGCTGAATACCAACCCTATTTGGGAATGCAATATTAAAATGACAAGACTACAGATTATGGAGTACTTATACTTTGAGAATTTCATGCCACTGATTTGCTACCATTAGTAGAATATCCATCAATGATATAAAAGGTGCATTTGGAAATTAGTTGATCAGCAGACATATATCTGTTATTATTATTATAGGATTTTGTAGTAGATGGATATACAATACCAGCAGGACAATCTATTGTCTATTCTACGACTGCTGCCCATCGTGATCCTCTCGTATTTAATAACCCAGACCAATTCTACCCTGGTAGGTGGAACACTAGGTAAGCTGGACTATTATTTATTTACTGACGACCAGTGCTGGGTAATGGCAAGGGGATGGAAGTGGTTTTGTCACAAATTGTGTGGCTATAGTCTTGATAAGATATTTATACAAGTTGAACAGGTTTTATTTCATTTTCTAGAAAAAGATTTATGTTATTGGTTTATCTATATATTATAGTAATAAAGAAGAACTAAAGAAGAAGTTATTTTGTTTTGGTAAAGATAATAGAAGCTGTGTAGGAGACCGATTAGTTTGGGTTATAATTAATGTAAGTTAATTAATGTATACACATTTCGCAATTCGGAAAACAAAGAGTGTCAGAGTACTCAGAGTTTTTTAAACTAGTCTAAGAAGGAAATCAATCGGGACCAGAAAATGAAGTCGGATTTCGCAGAATGTCAGAATACTCAGATGTAGAATATCACAGAGCACACTGTATTTAGACACTTTAACTCTTTGAACACTGGGTGTAAATGAAACAAAACCTCACATACCCTGAACTTCAAGTAATATTCAACTTAACGTTATGTGACATCACTTGGTCATCAACAGCTGCTTTAACAGCTGCTCAGGTGTATATTGTGTAAATATATTACTGGTAAACTGGGTTGAAACCACAGGCATCTGTTTCTCTCTCTATAATAGTATATATGAGAAGGTTGCTAACGCTTGTATACACAGATTCATATTAGGTTGGGATCATGTTTCATTACGGTAAATGGTAGAAAGGCGTCTGAAGTGAGGATGGTCGTGACAAGAGTTAACCACCTTCTGATATATATACTATTATAGAGAGAGTCGACTATTTATAGAAACAGATGCCTGTGGTTGAAAGGATTATACTGTTGTTAAAGTACTTGCTGAAAATTGATACGTGTTTTGAAATGGCATTCTACCATTCTCTTAAGCAATTACATCATTTGTTGTTTTTTTTCTGCGATTTTAAATGTTTAAAAAGTTGATAAACAAATTTATATTTTCAGACAATACTAAAGAAAATGATGACGAAATATGAATGGAGTTTGGTAGAAAACCAAGACATTAATTACAAATGGCTGCCAGTGTCAAAACCTAAATCAGGAGTAATTTGTCAATTGACTGAAAGATCATCTTGAATTTATTACAGTGATTTTGTCAGACATTTCTCATATCATGAATTCGAACCAACTGAAGTCTTTGGTATTTTACAGACATTATTTTATTAGCTGAAGTTATGTTCCAGTTCAAAAGTTGCATCAAAGCAATTATGTAATTTTGGGGTTTTTTTGTATTATGTTTGGGCACAACTTAGGGCAACGTCAATTGCATTAACGAACAAAAGAGTGCCCATATTTTTTTAAATATTATATGTAAAAATGCCAGTCTCAATTACGTGTGCTTGAACCATTCAAATTTTTATCCTCTCCAGCATTGGCATTTTGTAACGTGGTGTTAATCAGGTCGGGTCAAAAGGTTAATTTGATGAATGTTCAAGAGGGCTTTCATTAGACCCTAACTGAAGTGGCTATATTAAAAATAATAGGTAATAAAAAAACAAAACGAACGATTGGTCTAATTTTTTTATTAGACATTGTGCTTATCTTCTTGATAATTGTGATAAAGTTGTTATTTTTAAGAGTTTATCCTATGCATATTTATTTGTAAAACCAAGTTTTTTTATTGCATTTTTGTGTAAATCCTGATATTTTGTACCTTTCTGTTCTGAGGCGTAACCTCATTAAAAAACTATATAAAACGAATATACATCTACTTAAAGAATACAATCATGTATATCTTATGCTCAAGTTTAGTATTCTCTGTAAGGTATTTATGAATGCTATTGGATACCTTGCGTTATATCTTAATAACTTTAAATATTTTGTTTTATTTTAATTAACGCAGAAAAACTTCATGTTTTATGTTCTATCCTACTAATGTTTCACCACATATTTATCATGTGGTATCAATTCAACGATATATCATGCCAGGAGTTTTCATTATATTATATTATTGTAATAATTTTAATTTTTATCTGATAATTTATGCAATAAAACTGAATAATGTTTGTGTATCTTAGGTATGGTTTGAAATCTGTATTAATCCACTGATATATCTTGCCAGCACATTGTATTATAATATTGTATTAATTCAAATATTTAAATATGGTAATTTATGCAGTAAATACCTCATTATAATATTTATGATATATTCTACTTATGGTTTGAAGTTTGTTAAAATTGAGATAGCCTATATAGAGTGAAGATTTGATATCAGTTTTCTATCAGTGGGTATTTGTGTTTGGAGTAAATTAGTGTATAGCAAGATGTGGTTTAGTTATGAGTAGAGGTATGAATATATCATTGTTATAAATTTCTTTATTATTATTTTACTAGAGAATTAAACCCCTAAATATTCCATACACATGGATATTAGATAAAGCATGTGAAAACCATTCTTTGTTAAAGTCCCATTACTAGAGTAGTTCATCCAAATAGCAATGCCAAATGTTTGAATTCAAAAGTTAGAATTATGGGTAACTTGGCTTAATTATACTTTTTTATTTCTAGATGTGGTTTCATGCCACATTTTTATATATCTTTATGACGACAATTTTGATTTTTTTTGTATTACGTTAATGATCTTATGGAAATTTGAAAGCTTTATAGTATGAGCAGACAATTTGTTAGCTTTACTTTAGATTGGCTGACAATTTGTTAGCTTACTTTATATTGGCTGACAATTTGTTAGCTTTATTTGTATTGACTAACAATTTGTTAGCTGTTTTTGTATTGGCTGACAATTTGTTAGCTTTACTTTATATTGACAGACAATTTGTTAGCTTTATTTGT